CAGATAAGAGTTGAAACCCCAAACATTTGGAAGGCTGCCTACTTGTACTTAAGAACATTTAAAGCTTTCTAGGCACTGTACAAAAATTAAGGATGAAGAACACCATTCTTTTCTATAGGCTTAGAGCCATGTAGACAACAGGAAGAAGGGATGGGGAAGAGAAAAGAAAACAGGCATTAATCTTTCCCACTTATACAAACATTTCTTGATGAATAATGCTGAAAATCCCCAGTGAATAGAATCAGCTCCAGATTTTGGAGGAAGATGTCTTGAGCAAATATTTCATACTGTGAGTGGTCCTTTCCTCCGCTGTTGCTGTTAGTGCTCAGTCTAGGTCTGGTGTTCATCCTTACTCAAGAGAGGACAAGTTAGGGAAGCTGAAGAGACAGCTGCTGCTGGGGCTACTGTTTCTCCTTTGTCTCACAACAGCCCAATGAGGTAGGCTGAGAATTAGGGATTGGTCCCAAGATATCCAGGAAGCCACATGGCTGAGTCTTTCAAATCCTAATCCATCATTTTGAATCATTCCACTATCCTTTTGCTGGTAGAATCTGGCTGGTCTCATAAATGAATGTTTGTGAATGCCAGAAATGCCAGAATACCAGATACAGTACAGCTAGTCCTCACTTAACAACCATTTGTTTAATGACCATTTGAAGTTACAATGACGCTAAAAAAAGTGACTTACGACCAGTGCCCAAAGTTACAACTATCACAGCACCTCCACAGTCACATGATTGCAATCTGGGGGCTTGGCAACCAGCTTGCACTTACGACAGTTGCAGCATCCCGGGGTCACATGATCACCATTTGTGACCTTCCTAGCCAGCTTCCAGCAAGCAAAATCAATGGGGAACCGCATGATTCGCTTAACAACCGTGATGATTTGCTTAATGGCTGCCACCAAAAAGGTCATAAAATCAGGTCTGGTCACGTGATGATTCGCTTAAGGACCATATTGCTTAGCAACCTAATTTCCAGTCCCAATTGTGGTAGTTAAGCAAGGACTCCTGGTAGACATTTTGAACTTGCCAGAATAATGCAGATTAGTGCTTTTTCACTAGCAAAGAGTGGTGAGATGGCCAGGTTTGTTCAAATTATTCAAAGTACTTGTTTTCTTTAAAAAAAAGAGAAAGAAAGAAGATGGCAAAACGTTCTTGATTTAGTTGGGGGCTGGGTTTTTGTTGGTTTTAGATTGTATTTTTTTCCCTGGTTTTTTGGGGGGGGTACATTACCTGGAGTCAAAAATTGTGAGAGGGACAGCTTCATAAATCTCTTAAATAAAAATCAAAAAATGTTCAGTCCGTCTGCATAGGTTGTCTGCATTGTGTACCCCACCAGCAGCCTTAATGCACTCAGTGACCAAACAAAGCTCTTAATGAAGCAATGATGCAGATTCATAGTATTCAAACGAGTTGGGTGGTCTGGCTGGCCAAGAATTATAGCTCATCATAGGCCCAGGACTTTAGAGGGTACAGTTTAGAAACTCTTGGGACAATCTGGATTTGGGGAGGACTTTTTTGGGGGTAGAAGCTGAGGCAGTCAAAGCCCTCTCTTCAGATTGGAGACACGATGACATGGAAACCAAAGATTTCCAAAACCTGAGCTGAGAACAGTTAAGATTAGAAATCTTGCTGAGTACAAATGGTATCTCATGTTGTCTGTGCCGTTTTTTCCTTTTTGCTGACTTGGCCAATTTGGTAACCAAGTTGTTCTTTAAAAAAAAACAAAAAATGCAAAGCCAACGTCATTTAGGTCAGGGCATGTTTTCTGTTTGCAAGTCATGCACACAAAATTATTGACTAACTTGGCACCCTTCTGACAGGCACGAAGAGGAAAAGATACATTTCATGTACTTAAAAATCCACAGATTCTTCTTCCTGCATGAATCCAATGTATTTTTGGTGGCCAGAGGAAAATGGCTTTTGGAACTGAAAAATTTGCCCTGCTGTTTATTAGGCAATGGATGGTATAAAGGGGGGTAGGGGGTTGGGGGAAACAGCTCCACAACAGGGTGAAAACAATTGCTAGAGAAGTACACTAGAACAGTGTCTTTGAAGCCTCATAGAGAACCAGCTGAACCTGGCCCAGCCCCCTTCTCCATAGCATCTTTTTCTGATTTCTACAGGTCAAATCTCTGCATGGTGCAAGAGTTGGGTTGAGACGGGGATGGTTGATAGCCACATCTGTAAAGGTGATGCCCCTGAATCCTCAGGAGCAGGAAGAGAGAATGAGTACTAAGACAAGAACCAATGGGTGGAAGATTTACAGTGGGAGATCCAAACTTGAACTGAGAAGGAGTTTCTTGACCTTGAATGCTCTTAAGCAGTGGAACAGCCTGCCTTCTGAAGTTGTGGATGCTCCATCACTGGAGGTTTTCAAGAAAAGACTGGACAGCCATTTGGCCAGAATGGTCTGAGGATTCCTGCACTGGGCAGGAGGTTGGACTAGAAGACCTTCAAGGTCCCTTCCAACCGTAGGATTCTACAAACCAGTGTTGGTGAAGGATGGGAGTAGGAAAAATGAGGAAGGGGCAGATTAGGAATTTTGAGGATTTGACCCCATCTTAAAATGAACCTGTTGGTTGATGAGGCCTTAGAGCAGTATTTCTCAACTTTGGCCACTTGAAGATGGCCAAGCATGGCTGGCTGGGGAATTCTGGGAGTTGAAGTCCACACATCTTCAAGTGGCCAAGATTGAGAAATACTGCCCTCGAGGCAAACTTGTGAAGCTTCCTAACCAATCTATCTTGGCTTTTTCAGGGGGAAAGTGAGGCACATCCAAATGAAGCCCTGGGCTGCTGCTACACACCCTTTTTAGTGGTGTTGTGCTTTGGTGTTGTGTTTTGCCACAAGTGCCATTTTCAGAGATTCAAGGGTGGGGGAACAAATGATGGAAAGCACGTTGCCATGCAGACCATGTCTGCAGTTGTCTCTGATGTTGGGACACCAATCCTAAAGACTGAGCTTTGCATCCACATGTCACAATGCATGTGTCCTCACTGGGGTTTGGACTGAACCCCTCTATTTCCCATCTGCTGCTTTCCCCGTCAACTGCATTTCAAATGAAGAAACCCGTAACAATAATGGAAATTGCAAGGGACACACAGTCTGATGGGGACCGTGAGAAATGTCATAAGACATACCAATGCCTGGAGGAACAGTGTTACCAAACCTCATCCTACATTATTTTAGGATCATAGACTATTAGAGCCAGAAGGGGTCTTGGAGATCATGTAGCCCATCCCATCTTCATTGTAGGAAGCTTACCTTTTCCTATGAGTAGTAGGAGCAGAGTTAATTTCATGAAGGAGGGAGAACTCTCTGAATCTTCTTAAATGATTTGATTTCTACTGGAAGCAGAATTCAGTTCTGTTTTGGTTGCAGACTTGGGATTGCAGTTGCACAGGATTTGAAGGAACTGCTAGAAATACTCATCTTTGGATATTTTTTTCTTTCTCCCCTGACTTTTCCTGGTTTCTCTCCCCTCCCTCCTGTCCCCCTCTTTTGGGTTTCAGTTTAAAATGTAAATTAAATGGGTGATTTCTAAAGTAATAATTGAAAGGGCATCTGAGGAGGCTTAAGGACTGTGCTCCAAGTGATGGAGCTGGGGAGAAAGCGTGTAATTTTCAAAGGCCTTCATGTGGCGTGTGGGATAGCCTGCTGACTCTTCAAAATTACTCATTGGAGTAATTACTCAAATTCTGGACAGCGGAGGATTAAATCTGATCACAACCTGTGGTTTTACTGGGAAGGATAACATTGTAAAGATTCCTCTTTCGGAGTCATCAGAATCTGTTTGTTGCAAATCCTGTGTGCATGCCTGAAATCCTCTCTTTGCTGCTCTATCAAAATCCTTTCCAACAGTTTAATTTTAAGATAAAGCAAAATCAAAGTTTTATTCCTAGGGATACCATTCAAAAGATTGGTGGTGATTGGTGGCGAAAATAAAAAATACTTATAAAGGGTTAAGGGTTAGAGTTATGGGTGCAATGTAGAGGACTCCATAGCCCAGGACAGAGAGAAGGGGCATCTATGTGTGTGTGTGGGTGAAGGTGATAGCCATGACTATGCGACGAAAGTCTGTCTCTTGGCATGTGCTTTGTCAATGCGTGTACAAAAGGGGTGGTGGGCTTCGATCACATGGTTATGATTACCATCTTGACTTTTTTGACTGCCTCCATGGATGTCTCTGCTTGGAGCATCTTGGCTAGACTGTCATCTTCTAGAGCATTGGAGGACAATGTCTTCCTGCTAGAATTGATCAGCCCCTCATCTGGTCAACCTCTGTACGAAAAATGCAGGACTATCATCTTCCATTTTTTCTTGGACAGCAAAATGTTTGGAGCTGGCTGCCAGAAGATCTGACTGAGATCCAAATATTTAATTCTGTGCTTTCCTTCCATCGGTTGCTGTTCAGATCGGGGGAAATTTTAGAAGCCGGGCATAAAAACAATACTCATTCCTGTTCATCTGCAAGCCCCATTACTACTGTTTTCTGTTGATAGTTTTATCTTCCTCCTTTATTGGTCTAATATTTTTCAAAGACTTTTAAGCAAAGAGTGACATCACCCCACTGTTTGCTTACTAAAATGTTGTAACATATTTCCGTGCACTCAAAATAGCAATGTAGAAAAAACAATACGATCTGTCCAGTTGTAAATAAAATGCATTCTTTACCAACTCTGCTTGCGTCAGGTTGTTTTTAAAGGACATACTTGGTAAGTTCTTACCCAAACAGGTAGCAGGTTTAGCGAGTTTATGTGATTAATTATTACTGTTATTTTAGTTTGCTTAAGAGATGGCAAACAGAAAAGCCTTAGAATGAACGGATTCGTTTATCCTCTTGGAGTTCCTCTGCTGATTGCAAATTCCAGGTGGTTTTGAAACTGACATTTGGTGTTTCTGAGTTCAGTTGAAGTCAGGAAGTGATGGCTGGGTTTCTCCCCCCAAATGCAGCCTATCATTTAAATTTGTCCCTTTCGTCTTCTTCCTAGGCAGTGGGAACAGATGTGCTGTTTGGCCCTATGAGACTCCACCAAGATCAACTTCAGGTAAGCCTCTGCTAAATATGGATGTCTTAGCTTTGTCCAGGAGTTGGTTACCTCAATGAATAAATGTTATTTCTGACTTTATCAAGAGCATTTTCAGCTAAAGTATTTTCAAAGCATCCTCCAGTAAAAAGGAACGGAACAAGGCAATGTAAAATGTGTCTTTTAGAGCAATATTCACAGCCCATTTCACTGAGTATTGAGCTAATAAAGGAAAATCCCAAGTCAAATCTTCATTCAGTCATGAAATTGATAGGCTGGGTTTGCATGCTAGATTAGGCTCAAGATTAGGCTAACAGTGGGTTTGGGAAATTTATGGTTCATGGTGTTGTGGGAACCCAGCTGTTTTCTTAGCTGGCTATGTGTAGCTGCTGTGTTGTGCAGTAATATAGTTAGTTGTTTGGGCAAAGCATCTTATGTGAACCCAGCAATAGTGTTTTGTTCATCTGGGTTTAGGATTTAGTGTGCTGTGTGAACCCACCAAAGGGTGACCTCTAGCCAGCTTCCCATGCCCTTCGGGTATCAAAATGTGAAGGAAATTGCATGGATTTGTGCAAATACATTTGGATGAGATTATGGAAAATGGGTTGTTAAAAATGTCTACATTAGGAAAGTTGACGTGTGTGCAAATTTTTGTGCAAATTTTTTTTTTTTTAATCGCTGGTGCACAAATAGGAGTTAAACCTAGAAAGATGATGCCTGAGAAAGTGAGAAAATGACAAAAAGTATTCTACAACTGTAGATCGGCTTTTGAGCCTTTTCTAACAAGATGGATTGTATCAGGCTCTAGTTAGGCATTACCTTCCCAGGATCGCTTGTGAGTGTTCCAGGACAGGATGTAACAGCTTCAAATGTATGTTGGGTTTCCTGGCCCTGCCTGCCACTATGTTCTTTTCTCTGGCTTGTCTTTGGCCGCTGCCAAGAGCTCAAACCCTCAGGACTTGCTAACAGGCTGGCAAAGTTCTTTTTCCAGCTGGGAATTGCAGAGAGGAAACTGAGTCAATATGCTGCACCCGAGACTTCCTCCTGAGTGCGTAGTTGGAGATTTCATTCATGACTTCTTGGTTCACCATGGTTGCTTTTTCTTGCATCCATGATTTCTCCACCAATTTGGTTCTTATGCCTTCTAGCCATTCCAGAAATACTGGCTAGGAATTCACAGAATGTGAAGTCCTGCATGTTGGAAAGCACCAGATGGGAGCAGGGTCCCTGTATTGTTCATAAGTTGTGCTGGAAATTAATTGCAAAGTGATAATTTCTGGGGCCGCTGTGCTTCTTATCAGGCACATCGTGTGTGTGTTGATAGGTTGGCTGGTTACAGAAAGTTGGCTGGTTTTTCTCTCTTTGATTTTTGTCATAAGCCAGCTCTGCTAAATAGCTTGAGGATGCAACATGGTCAGTTGAATAAGCTTGTTTAACCTAACATTTTTGGCTTAACTGCCATCAATGGCTATAAATGGAAGCCGGGCTATATATAAGCTTGAACTTGAGTTTGCAAGATCACATAGTGTGTGTGTGTAATATCGGCATTTGTGCAATCGCGCATGTGTACCAGTTATTGGTAAGTATAAATTGTGAAATTTATTGACATTCCAGCAGCTTTAATCCAAGGTGTAAACCCAGTAAGAATAATGCACTGTGTGTGTGTGTGTGTGTGTGTGTGTGTCTGTGTGCTCACATGCATAAACGCATTCTGCCTACAGGTAGGTGTAAATGTTGAGATTTATTGACATTCCAGCAGCTTTAATCCAAGGTGTAAACCCAGTAAGAATAATGCGCTGTGTGTGTGTGTGTGTGTGTGTGTGTGTGTGTGTGTGTGTGTGTGTGTGTGTGTCTGTTTGCTCACATGCATAAACGCATTCTGCCTACAGGTAGGTGTAAATGTTGAGATTTATTGACATTCCAGCAGCTCTAATCCAAATATAAGCACAGTTGGAATGCCTGGAATTGCTTAGAAGTATGAACTAAAGCTAAGTGTTGCTTGGAGAATATTCTACTTAGCAAAATATTAAAACGGTCCAAAGGCATCAGTGCAGCATAGTACAGGTAGATTTGATTGTTATATTGACAGTGGCCACGCCAGCAACTTTTGGAATATAGGAAACTGCCTTCTGCTGAGATATAAGGTTTGCTTGTCAAGCCAAGTACTATCAGTCTGGGATGATTGATGCTCTCCCAGGTATCTGATGGAGACCTTATTCCTGCTATCCGATCCTTTTCTCTTGAGATACTGGAGATCCAGCTGGTGCCTCTCCTGTGAAATGCAGTGGCCTGGAGGCAAGTGGGGAGGGAAGTGACATTGCATGCCTCATGATGCAAATGAAGTGAATTGCATATCATGCAGAATAGTACAAAATGACATAAATATGACATCCAGTGATGGGATGGCATCATGTTGTATGGGGCATCGTATTGACATCATCAAGGCATCGGGACTAGATGCCTATAGACGAGGAACTTCAGGGTCCCATGCTTTGGAGAATGAGGGGGCATATAGGAGAGGACCTTCTCTGTCAAAGCTTTCTGGTGTCTTCCAGGGACCGTCTTGTTTGTGATGTGAAGATCTGGCTTTTTACTCTTCCATTCTGGACTCATAACCATAGCCTATTAAACCTTCTTTTTTAAAAAGCACCTATTATTGTATTAGAGACAGACAGACAGACAGACAGACAGACAGATTTCCTGCCTTGTACAGGCATTCAAGGTGGTATACACAGTGCCATCTCCTCTTATTTTTCCCCCTCAACAAGTTAAGCTGGGTTGAGAAAGAAGGACTGGTCCAAAATCAGCCAAGGGAGCTTTGTGTCTAGAACTCACGGTTCCTGTTTCTAGTCCAGCACCTCAACCACTACCCCAAACTGGCTCCCTTATTTATATGTGATTATTGTTCTTTTAATTTTTTAAAAAAGTTTTGCTTATTTTGATTTCACTTTATTGCCTTGTCTATTTGATGGATTGCAAGGATATGCCAAGAACTGCAGGACACTGGTGGGACTGTAAAGATGTTGATAAGTTAGTAAGGTCTTCAGGTCCATGTGGCCTAATTTATGTGCAAGAGATTTCAGATCTTTGAGAAGAGCTCTTTCTCCATCTCTCTCTCTCTCTTTCTCTCTGTGATACACACACATATGCCCAGACGCATTCCCCTTCTTTGTTTTCCTTTAATTAGGTACTCCTAGTGTTTGCCAAAGAAGACAACCAGAGCAATGGGTTCTGCTGGGCCTGTGAAAAAGCAGGCTTTCGCTGTAGCATTGCCAGGACACCTGAATCTGCCCTCGAGTGTTTTTTGGATAAACACCATGAAATCATCATTATTGATCACAGGCATTCAAGATACTTTGATGCAGAAACACTATGCAGGTGAGTCCTCTTTGTCGGACAGACCTGGATCACGTTTTGTAACATAGGACACACTAACCATTTTGGGGACGGGAAGAGCCTTGTTGACAGGGTCATGATGCCCTGGGGATGGTGTTTGGCATCTGGCCACTCCTGGTGTGGATATCATTTTTGTGAGAGGCACGTCCTCCACTTGCTCTCAGTGTTTCAGATATGCTTATGTGCCAAATAACATTGGAACGTATTATGTATGTATGGATGGATTTGATGTATTAAATTTATGATTTGACTTTCATTCAGGAGGTCAAGGTGGCATATATAATGTTCCTTTCCCTGGTTTTCTCCACAGCTCACCCTGTCTAAGGATGGGCTAGAACCTGGGTCTCCCCACTCCTAGTCCAACACTTTCACCACTACACTACACTGGGTTCTCCATAGTTTCCTGATCTTTCTTAATAGTTAGGATTCGGTTTTTCTTCTGATTAAAACACGTATGAACCTCAGTGAAATATTCTTGTGTTGATTTCAAGCATGTTGTAGAACTTGTATCAATTTCTTTACCTTCTCTTTTTTTCAAAAGGTCCATTAGAACAACAAAACCATCCGAAAACACTGTTATTATTGGGGTCGTGCGGAGGTAAATGAGAAATATTCTTACATTCTCATATCAAAATACATATGAATGCAAAAAGGCAGGCACGCAAGCCTGTAACTGAAAATCAAGGCTCATTCGTTCTGATTTTTACTGACATTTAGCTGACTGTGTAGCTGTGCAGCCTAGCTTTTTGAATTTTAGGAATAGGGCTGGTAGGCAGAGAAGACAAAAATAGAATGATTGAAGATAATTCAAGAATGGATGTACAGCTGTGGGTGGAGCCACATGTGATGGCAGAAGACCCGTGTCTTCTGAATTGGATGTCTGTCAAAATATAAGAGTTGGGGGAAGAGGACAGTGATCTTTCCCCACCTACTACAAGGTGCTGTGGAATTTATGGACCATATACCTCTAGTATCTAACAATATTTAGTGCCCCATACAGACAGGTAAACAAGGGGGTCTCCTCTAAGTGGTTCTTCCTTCATGTTTCCCATTAACTCCACGATTGCATCTCTTATCCTAGGTTCTCTTGAAACCTTTCTCCCTCCACTCCCAGAGCTCAGGGCAGTGGCATTGCCAGCCATTGGTACAATTTTCTATCAAAGCATCACATTCGCTCCAGCTGGGGATAATTCATGGTGGTGATCTTGTTTTCATAAATAGGGATCTGTGGCATTGCCCATGTCGATTGTGGTGCCTTAGCATATGTATTTATATTTGAATACGCACACTCTGGATTAGTCCAGCAAAAGTGGTGCCTTTATGAAAAATGTGCAGTTCTTGCGAAACATGGAGCATATGCTGCCAAGCTAAAAGTTCTTCTCTGGCCAAATGCATTTCCAAGTTCAAATCCTGGCTGGGAGAAAAAAAAATCTGATTTTAGACAGTAAAAAGTAGTGGACTGGGAAAGTGTTTAACGTTTTCTCCTGTCTTCTCTGCTAACAGTCCTGACCTTTGCTTTAATACTGTTTGGGTGTGATCTTTATTTTTTTTAAAAATGGAACTGTTACTATCTCGTGGCTGTGACTTAAGCTGGAGACGTTAGAGAGGTTATGAATTTAAAAGGCCCATACAACGGGAGAGGCCATTTAGAATGATCACATTGGAGTATTTGATTTTTTAACCATAACAGCAGTCTGCAAAGGGGAGCAAACCAGAAGAAGAGATCAGCGTGCATGGGAGGGAATAAGGAGAGAAGTGAAAGAACTTCAACTATACTAGTTAACCAGAAAAGAAAATAATTCTACGGAGCTTGGTTCTCTTCTGAATTGTTCTGTAGCATTTCAAAAGCCACTAAATTTTAAAGTGTGAAGGACTTCACACTTTATTTATTACTGATCTGAGATACGGTCTCTTGAATGCAGATATTAATATTTCTAGTATTAACCAGGAAAAAAAAATCCTCTAACATCTTTCTGTTCTTCCTTTTCTTTTAACAAGACATGCAGATCGTGAAGAATCCTCAATATTACCCTTTCTTTCTGCTGGCTTCACAAGGGTATGTCTATTTATTTATAGTCATCTTTTCCCTGAAAAGCTAGGGTATATATATATTAACCGAATGCCTGAATTTACATGTGCATGCTGGCAATCTCAGACTGATTTTGCAGAGCCTAGGGAAACAAAAATATTTCTCCACTTTTTTAACATAAGCAAAGGATTGCTGGTAGCCTATTTATGTTACGATAGGAATAGACCTAACCATTTTGTTCAGATTGCTTAGTTTGATAATTGTCTACTCTAGGGCTGTTGGAGAAACCTAACATGGTTTTCTTTTCAAGCAAACTTGGTGAACACAATCTGTCATAAATGTTGACTTGCAAATTCTGTAGAAAGCCATGTTTATGTATTTATTTGCTATACAGCCATAGACCAACAAAGACAACTAAAGGAAGGAGAAAAAAAGGTGGGGGGTAACTATCATGATCGATTACATGCCACCAAGTTGTTGTCAACTCTTAGTGACCACATAGATAGATTTTTTGTAAAGTAACTATTATAGATCACATGAAAGCTATTGACAATAGATTAGAGGCTAAAAGAGGAAGGGGAAGAGAGACAGGAAGGTCTGTATATATAGGCATATATGTTAATATGTAAACATGAGGGTGGTCAATCAGAATGATTAGCTAGATTGGCTACTCATGTCAAACCCATCATCTCTTCATTGCAATGGCTGCAGCACAGAATTACATGACTTTTATGGGGATTACACTGGACTAATCTCTTGGCTGAAAGAGTAGGATTTCGGAGGCCAGTTGAGGCATCTGCTGATAAGGAAGGATGATTTCTTAGCACCACCCAGTGTGATTCAGGGGATTACTCAGGAGGAATGTGTGATGGACTAATTCTCTGCATCTGAACAGATGAAAAGGTGATTTTGAAAAGGCATAGGGTTAAATCTCTTCCTTATTTTTGAAGGCAGGTCCTCAAATCTCACAAAAAGGAATGCCCTTCTCTAAAGATTTGGGAATGGCATAAACAGCGTCAGTGAAAACATTGTAAGAGTAATATGAGAAGTTGGCTCTGTCATTTTGTAGATCAGAGGCAACTATTGCTTGATTGACTTCACTCATGGCTTTTTCTGGTCCCATCATAAACAGAGGAGGGGCAGAGAGTCCTCAGTAAGGCTGTTTACTGAACTATTTGTCTCTTTCAAGAAGAGGGGAATTTGTAAGCCAGCTGTGTATATTTGGGAAATTATTAGATAAGGATGCATATAACTAGGGACATTGTATATGCAAGCATTTCTTGCATCTTCTTTAATTGCAAAGTTAGGACAGATGGAGCTAAAGTCTCAGTACACATGATATAGGCAGGGACAGAATATAGACTGATCTTTAGATTGCTACTTGTTGAATTGTTCTGTTCTATTTCTGCATTAGTCCTCAATTCAAGAAAGATTTCAAAGATTTCTTTTTTCAAGGTATAACATTTTAATATGCATTTTAACCTAAAGTTGGCAGTTTGCTCAAACATTTATCTTGACATACCTCTCATCTTAAATTGGCCTCTGAGGTACATTTACATTTTGTAAAGTTTTTTTTTTAACATTTCAGTTTACGTATACTGGCCAAACAAATGTGGTTTTTGGATGTGAAGAAGTGCAATAAATAAAATTAGGTATATTTCTTGAGCTATATCAGAAAATGTGGAGATAGATGAACACAGTTATGTTTGTATATTGATCCATCCTAGAAGCATGAAATGGGTTTCTTTACTTAAAAAGTCTAAAATAATAAGATGAATCCTTACCTCTGCTTATTAAGAGAATGTCTATCTTCTGGAATATTCCATACAATAACTAGCAAGAGTTGCTCACCTGAATGGATGCACATTATGGGCAAGCTACATAACTGAAATGTTTCTTCATAAGAAAAATTCCTTTTTTCTTAAGTCAAGATTTTATTAATATATGAATAGAAGAGAGAGATCTTTTGACGTTGTCATCTTTTTTTCCCCCAGAGATATGTTGAGAACTCGAACATCATGGCCTGTTACAATGAACTCATGCAGTTGGAATTTGGAGAAGTACAGGCACAATTTAAATTAAGGTATGTTGCCTATCTAATCTTAATATTCTTGACATAGGAAAGGCCTGTCCTCACCAACACAAGAATTGGTTGGGATCTGATCACTGCTAACATCTACAATGGTGTGTTGAAGGTCTGATTTGGAGGAAATTTGCAGATTTCAGGAACCATAACTAGTTGCTGAATGGGGATGGCCAGAGAAAGCAGACCATTTCTTCTCCACGGACTGTCAAGTCATCACACAGTACCTATGGGTAGGGGTGGAGAAAATCAGACCTTTATATGCAACATGGTAGATAGCAATCAGATGTATGGAACTTGTGAGATCTACATGTGTTGTACAGTGCGTAATTATTATACAAGTCTGAAGTATACAACCTAATGGATTTCAGAAGTGCCTATGGCCACTAAAGCCAGCCCTCACTTCTCCAAAATTACCACCAATTATAAATGTTTAAGTAGTGAAAGAAGATTTTTATGCACCTAAGGAGTAATTCTATCAGTTGTTTAACTCGATTTTAATTCAGCTTCTGTTTAAATGATAGCTTTTGTTCTGTCTCCTCTCACTTCTTGTTCTGGTTCCCACCTTCTTTTTGGCATAGGGCATTCCCTTCAGAAGCTATATGTGGTCCTCAGAATGAATGAATGAATGAATGAATGAATGAATGAATGAATGAATGAATGAATGAATGAATATAAACTAAGCACTGCTGTAAGCTTTCAGTATTTTGTTGCCTTGTTTGGAAATAAGCTGTATTGAATTTGGTGAGAATTATTTAATGGTGCCTCACCCTCTGCTTATCTGTTTGGAAATAGGCCCCTTTGAGTCAAGTGGTATTGAATTCTAGGAAGCAAGTTTATGATTGCACCTAAGCATGCACATATTAGGGCTGTTCATCCTTCAGAAATTAATTGGAAGAAGAGCTTCAGACCTTAGGAGATCATGAGCACAGCCCCTCTCTGCTCTGTTCAAGGTTCTGCTGGTTCCCTAGAAAGCCGTTCATGGTTTGGCCCTTTTTACCTTCAAGAACATCTTTTCTAAGTAGAATCTGCCCACTCTAGATAGTCTAGCTTGGAAAAGATGCTACGGGTACCCACCCTCAAGAGATCCAGGGATTGGGGCCTGATGGATGGCCACCTCCCTGTGGAACAGTGCCAACTCTTTTACCCTTTAGGAAATTGGTCCCCACTCTTTTACCCTCTGCTGTGAAACATTTGGAGAGGAAGATTGTTAACTTGGAACAGCAAATGATCTATATTTTATTTTGGATTTTGTTATATATTCCAAACTAGAATCTGACACATAGGTAGGATACAAATTACTGAAATAAATAAAGGAAGGAACTTTAACAGCCTCTTCAAGGCTTCCAAAAATTCAAAGAATTCAAACATTCTTCAGGAGCAGAGAAAAAGCTGGAAGGCAGAAAGTCTTCAAATGGTCCTCATGAAGAATGACTGTGTTCGATGGATATAGAGTATGCATTAGCTGTTCAGTGGGGGATAGAAAAAGTTTGTATGTGATGGAATGGCTGGAAGACTCCATGTGGAAAGATTGAATCCTAGGGTTGAAAAAAAATCCGTTGAGCTTTCAAATCCAATCCCTTGCTGAGTTCAGGAATCTGAATTAAAACATGCCTGATGGATGGCTGTCCAGCCTTCTTCAGCCTGCAAGATTTCATTGCACATTCTCATTGTTTTATTCTCTTTTAGCTTATTAATTGTTTAGCTGTAGGCCATTCTTTTCTTTGTAGATCTTGAAAAGTCAGATGATTTAAATCTAATGCGTCGGCTTCTTGTATTCTTTTTCATTTCAGGGCTTGTAATTCGATATTTACAGCATTAGAGAAAAGTCAAGAAGCCATTGAGATTACAAGTGAAGACCACGTAATACAGGTTTGCTCTGGTTGTTTTTTATGAGCATCAGATATTAATCTGTGGTTTTGTATAATTTTGTTCCTTTGGTCACTTCATAGGCACGCATTGACATGCACACATATAAAATATATGCATGTGTGTGTGCCCTGAAGTATCTTAGAATCTGTTCTTAATGCTGCACCTATTTTTCTGACCTTTCTATGGGGGGGGGGGGGACCCATCTTAAGTAATTTCTGATTTAAATAAGCATTTATTTTTGTAGAATATACATTCACAAAGAGTCTTGCTTAGCTTCAGAACTTTGTGGCAGTTTGAATTTAGCCCAAGGTCATAAAAACCTTAATGATGCTTATGTTGCTTGTCTCAAAAGTCAGGTATACATGTTTCAAAGGGGGAAGGGAGTTTAGCAGGTCATAAAAATAAGATCCTTGGGCCTTTTATGCATCTCTTTTGGGGTGGAAGAAGTGGAACATGTTTAGCAGAATCAGAGCGCAATCCAGTTTGAAGTGTTACCCAAACAAATGTTGTCCTCGCTGGCACTGTTGCAAAATGTCTTAGTTTTACTCTTTTGATGGGACTAAACTGTCTCTCCCAGCATGCCTCGCTCCTGGCTATGATGTCTGAGATGCAAGTAGTTATAATTCTGCCACATCCAGAGGGCCATTGCAGACATGTGGGATTGGAAGGTAGCAAAACCAGTTGGTGTACAATCCAAACCAGTTTCGGCCGGTAAGGGCTACATTTGGTCGAGCAGATCTGAAGTAGTGCAGGGTGTTTTTAAAAAGTGATTGTGAAGAGCTTGATTTCAAGACGTACTAGAGATAGAAAGTAGGCTGAGCCTTGGTATCTCTAGGTAAGTGCTGG